CATTGTCAAGACATACAAGACTATGGGCCAAGTGCTGGAAAATTGGATTCGAATAGTTAGGTGTTTGTTTTTGACAAGTGCAAACTTGATGGGATAAGGGTCCTTTTCTGTGCTGTGGACCTCTATGATCCTGTGATCTTCCCTTATAATACAAATGGTAAGTCACAACATTATTTTCTTTTTCTATTCCATAATCGTCAATATTACCCTTCTGTTTTTAAAATAAGATAGTTCTAACATATTTGATCACAAAGTGACCCAAACAAAAATTGACTTTTTTTATTTCTTGTTCTTCTAACTCCTCATACCACCAGGTGTCCCTCTTCAAGGATCTCCAATAATTTCTTGGAGCAGACACTGTGAAGCTATCTGACAACTGGTGACTTGCATCAACCCACTTTCTTTTTGATGTATTGGAACTGTGCTAAGATAAAACATTCCACAGTTGAGGAAAGGAAACAAAATATTAAATAAATTATATTCAGAAAAATGCACACGTTTATTTTGAAAATCTCTTTTCTTTCCTATATGCTCGCGTGGTCAATCCTCACCTGTTTGCAGTGTCACTCTTTGTCGAATGCACATTGTCTCAAAGAGAATAGTTATCCATGTAACATTCTATGGACAACTTTTCTTAGATTGTCTCACGTATAGGATTTTTTTAGTATATTGGAGAAATACGTCCTTGTATGTATAGTTTCTACTGACACCAATATTTCACTGCCAGAGGTACTTTCAACTACCATTTTTATTTACATAGCTTCCCAAAGCTCATGATTGACATTTTTTTTCCCACCGTATTCAAATAACCATCTAAAAGATTGGCATATGAAGAATCATTTTGAGAAAAAAGACTAGCTTTGTACCTTTGGATAACCCAAGACTGGAAAATGGAGTGTGCATTTTTCTGAATTTAATTTATTTCATGTTTTATTTACTCTCCAGACTTACTGAATAGTTGCATGAAACCCCTAGCCGCTAGGTCTGGGTTTAGCCTTGTATGTCCTATCGAGTAGCACCTTTGCTGTACACAGCTGTATAACATTGGCTAAATAAAGCCCAAAGAACTGCGGATGCTGTAAATCAGGAACAAAAACAAAGTTGCTGGATTAAGCTCAGCAGGTCTGGCAGCATCTGTGAAGGAAAAACAGAGTTAAAGTTTTGGGTCCAGTGACCCTTCCTCAGAACTGGTGGCTGGGAAAATGTCAGTTTATATGCAGTAAAAAGGGGAGGGGAATGGGTAGGGAGTAAATGATAGGATAGAGCCTAAAGAGGGAGAAGAACAGTTGGGCAGACAAAGAGTTGATAACGATCAGGCTAGGAGGGTGAATAGTTGTTAATGGGGACTGTTAGCGACTAACAACAGGGGGTGTGTAATGGCAGGCTATGTGGGAACAAGGCCTGGTGTGTGGGGTAGGGGGCTGGGACATGGGAGAGTTTAGGCCTGAAAATTATTGAACTTGATATTGAGTCCAGAGGGCTGCAGGGTCCCCCAAGCGGAAAGTGAGGTGTTGTTCCTCCAGCTTGCGTTGGGCTTCACTAGACCACTGCAGCAAGCCTGAGACACAGGTGTAGGCCAGGGAACAGGGTGGTGTGTTAAACTGGCAGGCAACGGGTAGTGCAGTGTCTTTTTTGTGAGCAGAACGTAGATGTTCTGCGAAACGGTCACCTAGTCTATGCTTCGTTTCCCCAATGTAGAGGAGACTACATTGTGAGCAGCGAATGCAGTAGACGAGATTCTGGGAAGTGCAGGTGAAGTGTTGCTTCACCTGGAAGGTATGTTTGGGCCCTTGGATACTGGGGAGGGAGGAGGTAAATGGGCAGGTGTTGCACCTTTGCTGGTTGCAGGGGGAGGTGCCGTAGGGCAGTGGGGAGGTGTTGGGGGTGAAGGGAGTGTGGACCAGGGTGTCCCAGAGGGAACGGTCTCTGCGGAAGGCGGACAACGAAGGGGAGGGGAATATATGTCTGGTGGTGGCATCTCGCTGGATGTGGCAGAAATGGCGTCTGATGATCTTCTGGATGTGGATGCTGGTGGGATGGTAGGTGAGGATAAGGGGAACCCTATTGTTGTTGTGGGAGGGAAGAGATGGAGTGAGGGCGGAAGTGTGGGAGATGGGTTGGACCTGGTTGAGGGCCCTGTTGACCACGGAGCTGGGGAATCCTCGTTGAGGAAGAAGGTGGACATTTGGAGGCTCCCTTGTTGAAGTTGGCCTCATCTGAACATATACAACGGAGATGGAGGAACTGAGAGAAAGGGATGGAGTCCTTACAGGAAGTGGGGTATGAGGATGTATAGTCCAGGTAGCTGTGGGAGTCAGTGGGTTTGTAATGGATATTAGTGGCCAGTCTATCCCCACAAATGGAAACAGAAATGTCAAGGAAGGGAAGGAAGGAGTCAGAGATAGACCAGGTCAATGTGAGGGCAAGGTGGAAATTGGAGGCGAAATTGATGAAGTTTTCCAATTCCAGACGAGAGAGGGAAGCAGCACCAATGATATCATCGATGTATCGGAGAAAGAGTTGTGGGTGGATGCCAGAATAGGACTGGAACAAGGAATGTTCCACGTACCCCATGAAGAGACAGGCATAACAAGGGCTCATGCAGGTACCCATGGCAACCCCTCTTACCTGAAGAAAATGAGAGCAGTTAAAAGAGAAGTTGTTGAGGATGAGGATAAGCTCGGCCAAGCGGAGGAGGGTGGTAGTGGGTGAGGATGGTTCAGGTCTTTGCTGCAGGAAGAAGCGGAGAGTCCTAAGACCCTCCTAGTGGGGAATGAATGTGTAAAGGGATTGCATGTCCATGGTAAAGAGGAGGTGGCTGGAACCGACAACCTGGAAGTTTTGAAACCGACGTAAGGCATCAGAGGAACCATGGATATATGTGGGTAGGGATTGGGCCAGTGGGGAGAAGACTGAGTCGAGGTAGGAAGAGATGAGTTCTGTGGGGCACGAGCAGGCTGAAACAATGGGTCTGCCTGGACAGTCCTGTTTGTGGATTTTTGGCAGGAGTAGAAACGAGCTGTGCGGAGTTGGGGAACTATTAGCTTCGAAGTGGAGGGGAGGAGATCAGCGGATGAAATGAGATCAGTTACCGCAGTGGATACAATGGCCTGATGTGCCATGGTGGGGCCATGGTCCAGGGGAAGGTAGGAGGAGGTATCTGAGAGTTGGCGCTCGGCCTCTGCAAAGTAGAGGTTAGTACGCCAGACTACAACACCCTTATCGGCAGGCTTAATGACAAAGTCAGGGTTAGATCTGAGTGCACGGAGTGCAGTCAGTTTGGAGGGAGACAGGTTGGATTTGGTGAGGGGGGCAGAGAAATTGAGGCGACTAATATCACATCGACAGTTCTCAATGAACAGATCAACAGGTAAAAGGCTAGAGGGAGGGGTCCAGGTGGAGGGAGAGTGTTGGAACTGGGTGAAAGGGTCTGTGGGACGGAGAGAGAACTATTGTCCAAAGAAATGAGCACAGAGGCGAAGACGGCGGAAGAAGAGTTCGGTGTCATGTCGTGCTCGAAATTTGTTGAGGTGGGGACGCAGAGGAATGAAGCTGAGGCCTTTGCTTAGTTCAGAACATTCAGCATTGGAGAGCGGAAGGTTAGGAGGGTTGGTGAATACCCGACAGGAGGTGAGAGTTGTTGGGCTAGAGGATGGAGTCAGAGGGAAGGGGAGGAGAGGAAGTTTCCAGAGGGCCATGGGTATCTTTGAGTTGTTGCATCTTCTGGGCCTTGATGCCTGAAAGGAAAACAAAAGCTTATTGTTAGCACGACGAATGAGAGAAGGATGATGTGGAACTGCAGGGTGATGCAACTCTGAGCCAGTGTGTTGCGATGCTGTTGGAGAGAAAGGATGAGAGTGTGCATGTGGCGCCGCATGGCACTGAGTGTGGATCTCAGCATGCGGTGAGAGCAGCTGTCTGTGGAATGTGTGTAATATTTGCTGTTCACTATCTGATACCTCGTGTACAGCAAATTCATTCCAGTTCTCAACTTTTTATTGAGCATCATTTGTCAACTTATCTTTTAATTTGTTTGTAGCTGTTAAAACACCTAGATCCCCTGGGCCTCTGCTTCTTGTGGTATGAGTCATAAGAGGTAGTTTCGAAGCCCACCTACCTAGCATGTGTCATAACATACTTGAAAAGGGTTGTTAAAAATATCTACTGATTATTTGAGGCATTGCCATGGAAAATGCATGAGAACTATTGTCCCAGAGATAGTAGGAACTGCAGATACTGGAGATACTGAAGGGCCTAGACCCTTTGTCAGCCTTCCTGCTCCTCTGAGGCTGCTTGGCCTGCTGTGTTCATCCAGCTCTACACCTTGTTATCTGAGAACTATTGTCCCCCTGTTTCTGCTTAATTCAAAAAGATACATTACCAGGACATGCTCCTTTTTCCTGCAGAGGATAGGTCCTTGTATCTCATGTTAGAGGTGGTTGCATGAATAGACATTACTTGCTGAATAATTCTCAGTATATGAAGAATTACACTAACAAACAATTTAAGATTATCAATTGGTTTGCAATGTGGCTCATGTTCACTTGCTAAAAACTGCATATAATCAGGTGCAGGGACATCCTTTGCATGAGAAAGGAATATATTCAGGCATTGCTCCTTTCTTTGAATTAAACAAAATAATGGGTACAATAATTTCATGGCAATGCCTCGACCAATTAGTTGGCTTGTCAACCAGTGAGCACCGTTTACTTATGCAGTATAAATTGTTGCTCTCTTTTGAAATTTGGTATTCTTTTGTCAGACCTGAAGAATACGAAACAAAATGCTTTGACATCCTGTCTCTTATTTTCAGAAAATTTCAAAATAGAAACTAGTATTTATTTTTTATTTTGCTGTCATTGGATTGTAGGCTGTAATTCAATTTCCAGCATTCTTTGACATTATTTTTGTTTTATTTGTATTATTTAAATTCTTGCATTAATTTTAGTACACCTGCAGTCTTACTAATTGCAGCTGTATTTGTTTTTGTTTCCCTATAGATCCTTAACCAAAGTCCATCTCTGAAACTTACTGAAGCACCTATTGGCGAGATCATCTTTACTTTGAGCTGCTCGTCCACTGAAGGTATAGATGGCAATGAGTAATGTGCAGTGTGAAGAACTGAACACGGACACGAGAGGGGCGCAAGATGCACAGCTCTGACTGCAACTTTTACTGATCCATCACTGAAGATGGTACACTGAATTCTGATTTTTTTTTTTAAAGTGAACTGTTCCGACGATTATAGGTCAATTTCATTTGTAAATTGAATTACTTCCATCCTGGGCACCTTATTAATGCTTCACAGAATTGACCATAATGTAATGAAGTCGACTCGATCTTTTATTTAGAAAGTTTGCTTGTTTTCTGAATGGATATGAGTGACAAAAAGATCGTGCACGAAGAGCAATCACATTCCGGTGGTGCTTCAGGATTCTCCATCGAGTCTGCTAGGAGCATGCAGTCTGATGATTTCTTTCCTAGAAAATACAAAGTCATTAATGGTAACATGGGACCTCCCATTCTTTCTGGTACACCTTGCAAATCTGACAACAGCAGTCAGCTTAATGGCACACCTGCCATGCCAAAGATGGGCGTGAGGGCAAGAATCTCTGAATGGCCTCCAAAGAAAGAATTTGCAAAAGAGGGAGTAAATAGTAACCTAATGACATGGGATAGCAGGTCATTAGCCAGTTATGAAAATGTTTCCATCATGAGAGGTAATCAAAATGGACAGAATGACCAAAGTGTTGAGGGTCTGCCTGAGGAGAACCCGGATGTTACTGAGGACTTGGAATTTGCAGATGCGAGATATATTTTTGGGGATCTCTTCACTCGGTCCCCACACAGGGGCCTTCACCCAATAAGGCAGAGGAGCAACAGTGATGTTACGATCAGTGATATAGATTCTGAAGATGTTCTTGACCAAAATGCAGTAAATCCAAACACTGGTGCCGCTCTTCATCGTGAATATGGAAGCACTTCTTCAATTGACCGACAGGGTATAACTGGTGACAGTTTCTTTGCCATGCTTCGAGGATATAGAAGTGAAAGCGAGGACCAGAGGAGCCCTGGTCCACTTGGGCTTAGTGATCTGTTGCGCTGTGATTCTGGAATGTCACCCAGTCTACAAGCAGCAACTCAGATTTCTCGAGCTGAATTTGTCAGAGTTTCTGGATATGATTATGTGGATAGTTCACTTTTTTTTTGCAAAGATAGCGAAAAGGCATTCAAACGGAGATTGAAACCTGAAACAATAGAGGCATCTCTTTTTAGAAAATTGAGAACTGCAAAAAGTGAACATGAGGCATTAAGGTTCTCTTTTGAGCAGGAAGAGAACAGACTGGAGAAAAGCAACCAGCTGTGGATGTGTCATAAGTGTTTTGCACACTATGATGTACAGAGCATTTTGTTTAATATAAATGAAGCAATGGCAAACAGGGCTAATGTAGGGCAAAGAAAAAACACAACCACTGGTGCATCCGCAGCTTCACAACACCCAATTCCAGGAGGTTACTCTGCAAACTGTGAGTCTCCAACGGGCAGCAAAGAGGAATTAAACTCAAAGGAGAATTTGGATTCTGATGAGGGAGATGGGAAAAGCAATAATTTGACTTTGGCATGCCCATACTTCAGGAATGAGATTGGCGGGGAAGGGGAGAGACGCATCGCACTTTCCAGGGCTAACTCTTGTTCATTTACTTGCAGTGAAAGCTGCTCCTTTGAGTCCTCACTCAGTTCTCACTGCACAAATGCAGGTGTGTCAGTATTAGAAGTACCCAGAGAGAACCAAGCAATCCATCGAGAGAAAGTGAAGCGATATATCATAGAGCACATTGATCTTGGAGCATACTATTATCGTAAATACTTTTATGGGAAAGGTAAGCTGGATGTTTTCAGTAAGTCTTGACCTTCTGCTTTAAGCTTGTTGATGTTTTTGTGACATCTGTCAGCAGAAGCTTTAAAAATGCACATTCTGCAATTGTTTGTTCAGCTTTCTATGACTTCTATCTTGGCTCCGCTACCTTCCGTTCTTTCCTTCTACCTCGGTGACTCTACTTTTGTTACTCATTCTGTATGTTTATAGCCCATGTTCTCTTTGTTAACGTGTCTTTAGCTTTCTTTTCTATAGTGCATGTCTTCAATTTTAAAACTACAGCCAGATTATTCAGGAGTGAAATGGAGAAGCAGTTATAGACTGGTGGAAATCTGAAACTCTCTTCCACATCTCCCAAAAGATTGTGGATGCTGAGGACCGACTGAATCTTTCAAAGCTGAGATTGATAGGTTTTTGTTGGGTACTTTGATCAAGGAACATGGAGCAAAATCTAGTAAATGGGTTCTGTACAGATCAGCCATGATCTAATCAACTGGCAGTAAATATTCTAGATGATAAATTGATTTCTGCTTTTCTATCTTTAAGAAATGCAGTGAATGATGAAGGCTTCTGTCTCATTCAGAAATAGATTGTCTAGCAAATACAATGCAAAAGATAAAACGATGCATAATATATGGTGGTGATGCAAATCTCTGGGAATAAATGGCTGATCAAAAGATATTTCAGAACTAATTACAAGTAAAGCAATGGGTCTCATATGGAATTGTCCACTCATTTGAAAACATTTTTTGAAAAAAGGGGTAGAAGTATCTGACAGAGCAGATTGCCCACTGTTGTAGACTCTCTTCCATTTTCAACTCACTACAACAAATGGACCATTTACTCCACTGGACTAAAGACAGTAGAAAAAAAGTGAAAGATGACTTTATGTTTTATTAAGCATTATGTCAAATATGTTCTTAGGGACATTTTATTATCATTGGGATCAATTAAGAGCAAGTCGGGATCTCGCAGTACTTTTTTTTAGTAAGATTGGCATGATAAAACAACTTTGACAACTGCAAGATGTTTTATAGTCACAAAGGATTTTTAAAATGTAATAAGTGGCAATGTAGGAAACATAGCCAAATTAAGCATTGCAAGATCCTACAATGAGGTAATGACCAGATAATATGATACAAGTGTGAGATAAATATTGACTCAGGACACCAGAAATGACTCAGAAATTTTCACATACCCTCCTGAGAGGGAGAAGGGTGTCAGTTTAGCATGTCATCCAAAACGTAGCCTCTCTGACAGTGAAATACTCCAAAACTGCACTGAAAGAATCAGCTGCCATTTTGAGCTTATGTCTCTGGAGTGGGATTCAAATCCACAGTCAACTATCTTAGCAGTGATAGTACGACTGCTGATGTATGGCTAACTCTACCACAATCATGGGGGCATTCTGTTAATGATCCATGGTTTAGGGAATAATATGAGGCACAGTTTCTGATGTTTTGAGGGAGGAACTACAATCTGCAGACTGTTCTCATATCGGTGAGAAATTTGTTAATTTTCAGCATTTTGAGAGCATTTGGAGTTAGTCCTTCAATTTATTAAACACTTTGGAGAGACAGGAGATGACTCATTTGCTACAGGATTCCTAGCCTCTGACCTGCTGCTGTTGCCACTGTATTTATATGGTTGGTCCTGTTCAGTTTCTGGTTAATACTAAACTACAAAATGTTGATAGTGGTGTATTCAGCAATGAATGACAGTTGATTGTCAAGGGGAGATGATCAGATTCTGTCTTGTTAGAAATGTTCATTACTCTACCCTGCACCGTGGAGCACAAATGTTACTTGCCACCTATCAATCCTATCTTGTGTGTTGTTCAGGTCTTGTTGGATGTGGACATGGACTGCTTCAGTATCTGAGGAGTCATGAATGGCTCTATTTTGCAATTGCTCCATTTTCATTAGGGTTCCTTCATGGTCTGTTTGGTTAAAATACTACTTTGTTGTCGAGGACAGTCACTCTCATCTCTCCTTTGGAGTGGGGTCAAAGCTGATTGGCTCTGGCTGAGCCCAAACAGAAAGTCCACATTGTACTGACATTTTTGAAAAATCTTTACATGTAAATACATCATATAGATATGTGTATACATTGAATATTGAAAATTCATAGAGGCAAGGAAAATAAATAAGAGGCATAAATGGATTATTAAGTGATACTGGCAACTAGCATTAAAGGGAATTTGGAAGTCTTCTGAGGTATATAAATAATAAGAGTGAAAGACACGAACTGGGGCAGATTAAGGACTAAAAAGGAGAGAAGACAAAGGGTTTGCCTGAGGTATTGAATAGGTGCTATCTCTCTAGCATGGACAAAGGTGTCGAAGTCATGAGGTCATTGAATTATTGGATAGGTTAAAAATTAATAGAGGCTGTAGAAAAAGTGGTTGTCCTTAAAAGTTCAAAGTATATCAGGACTGGGTGACATGCATAAGAGGATATTCTGAAGCCATGAGCCATAACTTTCCAATCCTTCTCACATAAAGCAGTGGTGCCAGAGAAATGTTCGAGGCATATGGTATAATGGCTATAAGAGTAGGTCAAAGGCTAGTAATCTGAAATCAGTAACTTACCACCTGACTCTCCATTGTCCATTATCTACATGTCAAAAGTCAGGAGTGTGATGAAATACCCCCCTACTTGCCTAGATGGGTGCAGCTTCAACAATAGTCGATGCTTGGCAGTATCGAGGACAAAGCAGCCCACTTGATTGGCACTACATCCACAAATATACACTCCCTCCAGCATTGACACTCAGTAGTAGTATCTACAAGATACACTGCATAAATTTGCCAAAGCTCCATTAAATAGTGCCTTCCAAACCCATGACTACTGCCATTGTGAAGGGCAAAAGCAGCATATCCATGGGAGTACTGTTCTCCCTGCAAATTAACCTCCAACCAACTCACCATCCTAACTTGGAAATATATCACTGACCCTTCAGTGTCATTAGGTCAAAATCCTGGCCTTACCTTCCTAATGGCATTGTGGATTAATCAGGTGAAGTGAAGAGAATAGAACAGAATAGCCTTTAATGTCATGTGCACTCAAATGAGTGCAGTGAAAAGTTTGTAATGACTATTCTTGGAGCCATCTTAGGTAGATGCACACAGGCACAGAATTTATAGCCAGGGAGATCAAAAGATCATGCAACTGGTGTGCGTGGAGTGTCAGCAGACTGAATAACAAGTCACTGCAGGCGATCAAAAGTGTCAGATGGTGTGAGTAAAGTGTTAACAGCTGAATAACAAGTGAAGAGATGACCTATAATCCGATTAATTGAGGGAGAGAGATAATTACAAAAAATTAAAAATAAGTTAGTGCTGGAGACAAACCAAATGGCTGGAATAACATGATAGGCATAAGAGTCACATGCCAAGAGTTTAACCAAAGTAGCAGGTAATCCAAAACTGTACAAACTAACGAAGGTAGCGAGATCATAAGTTATCAAGGTGATGGTGTCAAAACAGGACAGTAAGGAAGATTTTACAAGTACGCAATAGTATGGTAGGGTTTCATGTACCGTGACATGAACCCAAGATCATGGTTGAGGCTGCCTTCTTGATTACAGAACTTGGCTCTCCATTTCTGCTTGGCAATTCTGCGTTCCTGTGTATTTTGAAGGCTGCCTTGGAGGACATTAACCCGAAGATCGGAGACTGAATGTCTTTGACTGCTGAAGTGTTCCTGAACTGGGAAGGAACATGCCTGTCTGATGATTGTTGCACGATGTCCATTCATCTGTTGTCGTAGCGTCTGCATGGCCTTGCCAATATATCATGCGTCAGGGCATTCTTGCTTGCAGCATATGAGGTAGACAACATTGGCCGAGTCACTTGATTATCTGCCGTGTATGTGGTGGGTCTTGTTCCCAAGTGTAATGGTAGCATCCATGTCGATGATTTGGTATGTCCTGCAGAGGTGTGTGTTAGGTCAGTCTCCTGAAGGCTGGGTAGTTTGCAGCGAATGATGGTCTGTTTAAGGTTTGGCAGTTGTTTTGAAGGCAAGAAGTGGAGGCATAGGAATGAACTTGGCCAGATGTTTATCATCATCGATGACAGGTTGAAGGTTGTGAAGAATATGGCGTAGTCTTTCCACTCCAGAGAAGTACTGGATGACTAAGGGTGCTCTATCGGTCGTGTCCTGTGTCTTTTCTGAGGCGGTTTTTCGCTATGGCATGTCAGAACTGATAGTTGATGAGTTGAGCATCGTATCCATTTCTTGTGATGGTGTCTTTTAGCATCTTTAGGTGTCTGTCACGTCCCCCCTTGTCTGAGTAGACCCTGCATACATGCAGGGCTTGTCCGTAGGGGATGGCTTCTTTAACACGTTTAGGGTGGAAGCTAGAGAATTGCAGCATTGTGAGGTTATCTGTGAGCTTGCAGTAGAGTGAGGTACTCACTCTACAGTAGAGGTATCTGTCCTTGATGGAGATGCGTGTGTCCAGGAATGAGACTGATTCTGAAGAGTAGTCCGTGGTAAGTCTGATTGTGGGATGAAACTCGTTGATATCCCTATGTAGTTGTTTCAGTGATTCCTCGCCATGAGTCCAAAGGAAGAAAATGTCGTCGATGTATCCTGGTGTATAGTATTGGTCGGAGGCTCTGTGCAACAAAGAAGTCTTGTTCGAACCTGTGCATGAAAATGTTGACATATTGTGGAGCAAATCTGGTCCCCATGGCTGTTCCATGTGTCTAGATGAAGAATTGGTTGTTGAAGGTGAAGACGTTGTGGTCGAGTTTGAAGCAGATGAGTTGTAAGATGGCATCTGGAAATTGGCAGTTGGTGGTATTGAGTACAGAGGCTTTTGCGGTGATGCTGTTGTCATGGGGGTTGCTGGTGTAGAGTGCCAAAATGTCTATTGAGATGAGGAATGTTCCTGGTTCGACTGGTCCATGGGTGCTGAATTTCTGAAAGAAGTCTGTAGTGTCGCGAGAGAAGTTGGGGGTTCCTTTGTACAATGGGTTTCAAGATGCCCATGACATAGCCAGAGGTTCTCGCACAGAGTCCTGACATTGAGGCCACTTTTAGACTACTATGTTCAATTCTGGTCACCCTTCTATAAGAAGGATGTTGTTAAACTTGAGAGGGTGCAGAAAAGACTTACAAGGATGTTACGGAACTGGAGGATTTGAGCTATCGAGAGAGGCTGAATAGGCTTTTTTCCCTAGAGTGTTGGAGGCTGAGCAGTGACCTCATAGAGGTTTATAAAATCATGAGAGGCATGGATAGACGGAATAGCCAAGGTCATTTTCCCGGAGGAAGGGAGTCTAAAACTAGGGGGCACAGGTTTAAA